AACCTAAAGTTACTTCTGTTGATATTTTCAAAAATAAAACAACGGCTTGCAAAGTACAATAATGAAACAAATATACCTAGAAGAAAAAAATATAAATAAATGGAAATAAACAGACCTACTTTTTTAAATTATTTTCCTAAGCAATGCAAAGATAACAACAAATAAGCTATTGGTATTTTGTGCTTGACTCAAGTCATATCTATAGTTTTGTTTTGAAGAAGTGTACCCGTCATGTTTCCGCTATGACGCTTGCCTTTAACTGTCGCTAACTTACCGCGGCTGTTAGCGGGTTGGAAAGTACAGAGAGACAGGCTGAACGCAGGGTCGTCGTCCTCAGCAGTAGACACAGCATGGCTCCGCTGAAGTTCTGTGCGAATATTTCCTAGCTCTTCACGGAGATTCGGAGCCTTCACTCAGCGGATATACGCGGCTTTTTTCGGCTGGCTTTCAGGCCGTAGAGGCAGCCTGGCTGTACGACTGCGACCTGCAGGAGCTTCAGAGGGCCAGAGAGGCTACAGGAGTGGAGGAATTGGTCCTCATCAACACCCCGCCGGGTAAACAACAACAGCATGGGCCTCACACTGAATGACAGTCAGACTGATACTGAATGGTTAGTAATAATTAGAGCCTTATGATGATGGTGGTGGTAATAATAAGTGTGTGTGTGTGTGTGTGTGTGTGTGTGTGTGTGTGTGTGTGTGTCTCTCGCAGGAGATGTAAAGGCAGGTGATCTTGGTCTTGGAGCAGTTCCTGGATAAGAGGCAGAGTTCAGATTGGGGTCTGGATCTGGCTCTGAAGTATCTGGAAGACCGTTGGACTGCCCGAAGGTGAAGCATCTGAGTAAAAGGCTCAGTGGATATCCACTTCTGTATTGTTTTCACATCCCAAACCAGTTTAGGGGAATAACAAATAGACCGTTTGCACAGCAACCAGTTCGACATGAAGTAGTAGGGTAAACAATAGGTAGGACATTGAGACAGACAACCACCCACCTAGAGCCGAAGGATCTGTCCTAGGTTCTGCCTTTTAACAGGCAGTTTTTCCTTACCTCCCTGTGAGCCAACATCCACAGTAGCAGCACTCCACTCTGTTTGACCTGAATAAGTATCATTGGTAATGCCTGTGTTTTACCCTGCTATTTCCTGTCAGAATGGCTGCTGTGTAAGTGTAAGTGTTTCTATATAGGCCCAAACGTGCTGAAAGAGTCTGTGATGTTCATTTTGAGGTACCAAAAGTGCTAAAAGCACATCGCTTTTTTAGGGTGTATATAAGTTCAATTCAATTCAATTCAATTTTATTTGTATAGCGCCAATTCATAACAGAAGTTATCTCAGGACACTTTTCAAATAGAGCAGGTCTAGACCGAACTCTTTATAACATTACTTACAGAGACCCAACAGTACCACCATGAGCAAGACCTTGGCGACAAGGGCAAGGGAAAAACTGCCTGTTAAAAGGCAGAAACCTAGGACAGATCCTCCGGCTCTAGGTGGGTGGTCGTCTGTCTCGACCAGTTGGGGCTGGGGGGGAAAGAAGAGAGAGAGAGAGAGAGAGAGAGAGAGAGAGAGAGAGAGAGAGAGAGAGAGAGAGAGAGAGAGAGAGCGAGAGAGAGACACAGACAGACAGACAGACAGGTGCACAGCAACAACAGTATTGACAATGGCAGTCAAGCAAGGACCATGGCAGGAGGGCTCCACCAGGATCCATGAGCCCCTGCCGAGAAGCGAAAGCCCCTGAACTCCGGGGAAGAAGTGGAGTTAGTAACATGCATTAATGGGACAGGAATGAGTGCAGAGCGAGAGAGGAAGAGAGGAGCTCAGTGCACCATGGGAAATCCCCCCATAGTCTAGGCCTATAGCAGCATAGCTAAGGGATGGTTCAGGACTCACCTGATCCAGCCCCTAACTATAAGCTTTATCAAAGAGGAATGTCTTAAGCCTACTCTTGAATGTGGTGAGGGTGTCTGCCTCCCGAACCACAACTTATAAGGACAAAATAATATAAATGCATTGGAAATAGGTCTGTGTTGAAAACGGTATTCCCTGATGGCAGTGGCCTCTTTCAGCAGGATAACGCATCGTGCCACAAAGCAAAAATGCTTCCAAATTTCCTAGATCTCAGTCCAATTGAGCATCTGTAAGAGCTGGACAAAACAAGTCCGATCCATGGATTGCCCCACCTCACAACTTACAGACCCGAAGGATCTGGTGCTAACGTGTTGGTGCCGGATACCACAGTCCACCTTCCAGGGTCTAGTGGAGTCCATGCTCCCGACGGGCCAGGGCTGTTTTTGGTGGCAAAGGGGGGACCTACACAATATTAGGCAGGTGGTCATAATGTTATGGCTGATCTGTTTTGATATAAGCGTCTATATATAGTTATGTAAGGATATAAAGCAGGTTTTCACCTCATCAATTTTTGCATAAGTGTGTAAAGCATTTGCTGTGAATTCATCAGGATCCACCTGATGGCCGGGAGGTTCCCTGTGGGCTCACACAGAATGGCAGTTGCCAAGGAGATGGAGGCCATCTTTGTGCAGAACCTAAACTATGCTGCTGATATCCTCTCAAAGGTGGGTGACCTTATCCGTCCAACATAATAACAGCTTTCTGCAGTGAGGGAATTTCTGCCGAAATATAGTGATATGGCAAATATTATAAAATATTTTTGTTGTCATATTTTATGAAACTTTCCCTATATCCTGACAGTAGTACAATAGGGTTCCTCTGGCCAAATGTGGGTGAGGCTAATCAGAAGTGAGAAATTATTTAAGCCTGAAATTGATATAGGTTGATCAGAAAAACTATTTATAGAACAACTTTTTTTTTGTTATGTTTAAAAGTTGCTATATTTACATTTGCAAGGCTGTCAGAGGTATGGATACTTAGATAATTTTTTGATTACCACCTGTTTAAAATGATTCGATACTATCATTCAGTAGTATCCAAAGTACCAAAGCTCCAACCCAGGGCTGCACAGATAAAACAATAGGGAGAAACTCCACTGGTTCCCATTATGTGTTCAGTCACTTTTTCAGTACCGGTATTGTGTGCAGGCTTTTCATTTTTAAAAAAGCAAAACTTCTGTTGTGCTTGGACTTTTTTCTTTGAATCAATGTTAAAAATTCAGGTATTGTGCCAAAGTTACTCGTTTTACTCGTACTCACATTAAGTCCATT